TGTGTTCAAACAGTCAGTTGACTGTTGTCCTCACAGATGGATGTTCGCATATCTGCTTGCCATAAAAAATGGGAAAAATAATGAAACAATACTTTAATGTGTTTGCATGCACATGTGCATAATGTAAAAATATAGCTCATGGATATACTGTTATGTGATAAATGAATAATGTTTTGTATTATAACCAATCTGGGCAGCTGGCTTGATTCTTTGAATCTTAATGCTGTATGTTTTCAATAAAGTGAACTTGGACTTGTGTATTTCTTTTTAGGGACTCATCTAGCAGAGGGTTTCCACCTACCCAGCAAAACATTTTAGTTTGCCAGTGTTTCACCTGAGAGATGGTTTATTTGAAAAAGATAGTCTGGATATTGAATTGATCTGTTTAAAGGTAGTACTTTGAGTATTGGATTGCAGCATGTCAAATGGAAATTTGGGTGTACAAAAGGACTCCATAATCCAACATGTTTATTTCTGTACTTGTGCTTATAGCAGGCATTCACTTTGCTTGTCTTACTGCATTCAGAACTTTTATTGAATGAAGCTTAAGAGCACCAATGTGTATAATTGGCGCTTTGCTGCATCATGATGGTTTCGGTTGAAAGCCTATTAAAAGTATTTAATACTACCCTCATGATTAATATTTTAAAACAGTTTTCTTTTCTTTCTGTTGCAGTTGTACATCTTCTAATCCAGTCTTACAACATGGCTAATACGCTTGGACATCAAACTATGAAGCAGACCTCAGCCAGAACTTTTAGTGTTAGTGGGCCAGGATATTGAGTACTACTGCAGTTACATACACCTACAAAAACTATGAGAGAGAGATTTCTTTGGTTTTTTAAACCTTCAGCCATTCCTGAATGACACGTATAGACATTTGTCACACCTTCCACATTTTTTTAACTAACATTCCTTAGCAGCAACTCCACATTTTCACTAGCTGAATTTCAACCATAATGCCATTATCCTCAAAACATCTTCCTCTGATGGAGAGGTTTTGTTACAATTTTAGAAAAGCAAATTGAGAGGCATGGGTGGTATCTGGTTCTGCTATTGTCATAGAAAATAGTACTTGGTAGCACAGTTAGAATGTACCTGTGCTACTGACCCAGATGGGCTGACTTTCCCATTTGGAAAATGGTAATTTTGGGTAGTTTCTTGGATTGCACTAGTATGTTCTACTTTCCAGTTATGCTAGTGGCCCTTCTTCCAAATGGTTTAAAGCCATTTGATTGTGGCTTTCCGTTTTCTTTCAGAGAAAACACTTTCTTTTTTATTTTTTTTAAGTTCCATGTTCGGCATACCTGACTTCACCCTTCATTACATTCAGAATGTGTTGATCACGTTAGCAAAAAATTAAAATAGCCAGTGTTTTTCTGATACAGTGAAGTGAGGGTTTCATTCAGGTGTGCCTGTCTGATGGCTAAGTAGATCCCCTCTTCCTGCTTCCTTTGTGCCCCCCCAGGCCCCAGGCCCTAGGCCCCAGCCCCCAGGCTTGCTCTGGAGATTTATGGGAGTTGCTGGAGCATGTCTAGCAGGCATGCTGCATAGAATTCTGTAGTGCCTTTATGCAGATCCAGTGTAGTCTAAGCAGAGTTACATAAACAGGTATCTCCATCCCACAGAATTGTGTTCCATTGAGTATACCTGGTTTAATCAGGTTGTATGTTAACATAGTATCCATGTGTGGGTTACAGGGCAGGATTTTTCAATAATAATTGAAGCCATAAATTTGCTCACTAAATCAATGAATGTTTATGGATTAGCTCATAATGAGTTGAATCCAGACTTAGTCATACATCAAGTAGATTCTCTGGAGTTAATGGTAGTTAAAATAGTAATTTAATTTATAGCATTTTTAATGTTAATAAATGATGGTCCTATAAATGTAATTTATTTAGAAACAAAATAGTCCTTGTTGCAGATAGGTTTTTTTCAATTAATGTTGGATCAGAAATCAATTCTTAATGCAAACTCTTTATATAAGCATGCTGTAGTATGTTATTCTAATTGTAAAATGATTTTGTTAAAAGTGGCAACCTCATGGGTGTGTATACATTTGCAATGCTTATGTATTTGTGAAGAATTCAACAAATGACTAATTTACATTGGACTGTGGGGATCACTGACCAAAGCCATGTACAGATCAGTTAGTTCTAGAATGATCTTGATGCAGTCCTGGTTAGAATTTGTTTTTTTCCTACAATCAGTGAAATACAAATGATAACCATAAGAAGTCCCATTTTCCTATTATTCTAGTTTTTGGCTGTGGCAAAATCCTTGCTGGAATGATAGACAGAGAATGCACCTCAGACTTGCTCTTGAAAGGTTATGAAGTGTTGACTTAAAAAAATAACTGGCTGAATCAAAATGGCAACTGCTATCCCTGAAAGAAAGATCAGCTGTTGCTGCCTTTTGCTTAGGACAGGGAACAGTGTGTCTCTATCAGTCATCACGCTCAAGCATTCAGCATTGCTGCAAAACAAATTTAATATCTTTTGAGTGTGTAATCATCTAAAGAAACGGGACAAAAGCTCTACATTTTTGGCATTATCAAACATTCTTTTTAATAAAATAGTTGTTAATATTTCAAGAATATAAACTTTATTCTTGATCCAAACCATATTAACCATAATCTAATACCCAGACAGGCAGGAGACATTTTGCAAATTTTACTTTCAAGGACTGCCTCTCTATTTGAGTATGGGTTCCTGCTGTGCAAGTACTGCACTACATAATTATCAGAGATGCATGATCAGTTATGGTTTGCCTTTTCTTATTTTTCTGCCAATTTCTAATTTGTAATTATACAAATACCTACATAAAACAGTTTCTGATTTTTATTTCATGTGCTTACCCCAGCTTTTAGACATTATTTCCAATGTTTAACATCTTCATAAACCAAATAAAAATTCATCTTTCACACCAGTTCTTAATATATCACTATTCTCCATTGACCAGTCCACTATATTGCAGACTGAACATTAGTAGTTTAACATTTTAATAGACTTGCCAGATGTATTTTATGTTGTCATTTAAGAAGGTTGCAATCATTTGGAGGATATTGAAACATAATTCTCTGGAATGCTGTTCTTTTGGCATAAAACTTCATGATCATTCCTTCTTCAGGAAAGATCGGTCATATACTGCAAGTTATTCTGATTATCCCAGGAAGTGTGACAGATGCTATAACAATACTTGGCAGTGAACTCAGCTGTTATCAAGTTTATTACTCAATAATGGCTCACATCTAGCACTGCCTGCTCATAGTATACTTCTGTTTCTGCAGTGCTCACTTCCTCTCTTCTCCCATCATTGCCATCTCCCAAAGTGCCTCTAAATCTGCTCCAGAGGGTTCCTCAATTCTTAGTGGATGGGATGGCTGTATGGGAACTGCAGAATGGATAGGGAATTTACCCCTCTGGAAGATCCTAGTCTGTCAGTGGACAGGCACTGTCAATGTGTAGGAATGGGATTGGGGTGGATATAATACCTTTTCTATTCCTATCATGCTCTAGCTTTAATATTCAAGACTGGGAGAGCTGAAAAACGTATATGTCTGAGCAAGTGGCTGGAATGTACTTCCTTCTGAATTAAATATAAACAAATTGTTAATGCAGCATTAACACATACAGCTGGTTATTAGAAGGCAACAGGCCAATGCTGGCACAAAGCCTACAGAATTAAACTCATTTTCATACATGATTAGTGTGTGTGTGTTCTTACTAGTTTCCTCCTCATTGTTTACAAAATGTCTGTCATACTTTCAGACAGCGTGCGCTATGTGTGGGTGGAAGAATGTAAGGTTTAAGTCAGATATTGATGCTCTTGTGCCTTAATGCTAAAAATTGCATCATGTCCATCCATATTACAATTATTATATGTAGTTGCTTGAAACTGCATGTAATGACAGACTTGTAAAACTGTTGTCTTGGTGAACTCTTGGCAGAAGGATTTCACCTTCACATTTGTTTTAGCATAATCAAATATTAAAGCTTGCAAATCTTAAGGACAGATTTACTTGCAAGCTTGTGAAAAATGTTATTCAAGCTAATATGGAACACCTTTAAAGTTAATTGGTGTTTTCTACTATGGATTTTAGTTCTGGTGTTGTAGACAGCTTGATTTTCTAAGTTCCAGTCGGTGGTTGACAAAGTAGATAGAATACTTTGGATAGAAAAAGTCAACAGAAGTCTATCCTTAGATTTTGCCCAGGTGTTTTGTTTGTTTTCTAAAATTTTATATCATAGAAACAGAGTGAGTCAGAAGGGGCCTCCTGGGCCATCTACCCTGATGCCCAGCTCCAGTCAGCTCTGCTCATGACATGCCTACCATGTGCCTCCAGTCAAACTCAAAAAGGGTAGTTGATTAACAGATTGGTATTTCCCCACCTGCTGCATGTTCAATACAATGTAAAGATTGTGGTTACTTTTTAGTCTAGTAAAGTGATTAAAGGGAAAAGTCTTGAAGATTAGGACCTTAGTGTTAGGTGACCTTAACATTCAAGATTTTGTAAATCTCAGATTTCCATTCAACCATTTTGAATATTTGAAGGATGTGAAAGGTGATGCCCAGTTATCAAAACTGAGTTTTCACTTGTGAATAGTTGGATGATCTAGGACAATTGTATAGGGCTTAAATTCCTCTGATAGGTTGTATCTTTTCTATACCGTAAGAGAATGAATCCTTCCAGGATACAAAGAGGCAACTGCATTTACCTTTTATTTCCTTTTGATGGATATATTTAAAATTAACTCTGTGTATTTCAAAGTAGAATGAATCAGTTTGATACCCAAACTTGCAGGGCTAGTGTAACAAAACCCCTGTTTGGTGTATATCCTTGGCATTTCATACCATGTTGTAAGGCTGGAGCAGTGGATGTAATCTTCAACTTGAAATTCCGTAAGCAGAGAGAAAGCTGTTCTATGAGAAAGATTAAGCTATGATCTTTTAATGGAAAAAAAAACTTGCATTGATGTATTTTCCCTTTGTTTCAGGTTCATGGTAGGCTGTGGTAGATGTGATGATTGGTTTCATGGTGACTGTGTTGGGTTGAGTCTCTCTCAAGCACGGCAGATGGGTGAAGAAGACAAGGAATATGTATGTGTGAAATGTTGTGCTGAAGAGGACAAAAAACCAGATATACTTGATCAAAGTATGCTGGATGCACAGGTGAAACTGGAAACAGCAAAAGAAGGCAGAACAATGGAATGTGAAAAGCCTGGAGTATCAAAGCAAACCCCTGTGTGTCCTCAAAATAAAACGAAGCAGGGAGAAGATTCAGTAAAGCACAAGGTCAAGATTTTTAAACGGGTAAGAAATGAACTATTCTTAACCATGTATAATTTGTATAGACTATAGTAGCTTGGTACTTATTTAGAATTGTCTGTTTTGAAGTGTTGATAGTCTACAAATCTTGTTTTAGTTTAAATGAGAACTGTTCAAAAGACTGAACTGATAAGTATGTGTCTTATTGGAATATGTCTCTTTGCTAGTGTTGATACCACTTCATCAGGTAGAAATGCACATTAATTTGGCAAACATGTTATCAAAGAAAAGTTTGTTGAGCAAATGGGCTAGTTAATGGGATCAAAGAGGCTACAAGCTTGTTTTAATCCCAAGCACATGCCAAGCACCATTTTCCTTATTACCCACCTGGGCATAGCTTGTTGCGTCATCCGAACCTGGGTGGCATGGCTTGTTTGAAGGAGAAACAACCCTCAGATAACTTTGGGCTAGTTTCCAGTGTTGTACTAGCACGTACCAGCTCCCCATTGTGCTAACATTAACTTCTGATAGTGCAATGAAGTTAGTGTATTTAGTCTTTGAGCACTGTCCGTTACTTTTTGCAGAGGTAACTTTAAAAACAAACTCCTCTTTGCGTATAATTTCTACCTCAGCTACACACTGTGAGTGAAATATTTGCCTTCCTTGTGGCAGTTATGGTTGCTTCTTATTAGATATATAAATCTTTTTTTAGTGTATGGTCCTTTGAAATACACAATTCACATGGAGATATGAGACCTGTTCTACCCTCAAGTCCCTCCTGCAGCTGCCATAGATGCTGCTGTTTAATGGCATGCTGGTTTATATTCCTCTTGTCCACTGAGGTTCTCACCAGTGCCCTTTCTCCAGATGTCCTTGCCAGCTGCAGGGCAGGGCAGAGAAAGTGATTTTCCTCAGTGGTGGGTCATTCTAGCTGGAATGCCCTCCCCAAGAAAATTTACCTGGCTTTCTTGTTACTATTTTTTAGATGCCAAGCAAAACTATGTCTGTTTTCCTAAGCTTTGGAGAACTGCTCATCTTAACTATTCTGTTTGGATTTTATTTTGTGTTGTTCTTTTCGCTTGTTGTATTAGTTTGTAAGCTTTGTTTTATTCTCTTCTTTTTATTGTATTTTTATTATTACTTTATTAGCTGCCTGGGAACATATATTGAACATATGCAAAATAAATAAAGCAATAATCCCTTAAGTGGAATGGTAACATGCATAATTTCCACTGCATAGCTTGTCTTGACTAAAACTTCACACTGTGAATTGTACTGTGTGAAAGAACTTTGATCATTGTTCTTTTTCTTGTTTATTAATGCTTGTTTCAGGAATCTGGTGATGGAAAATCTATATCCGAGTGCAAAGATTCTGAAATGAAAAAGGGGCAGCAAATTCCTGTTAGGAAAACAGGACAAATGGCTACAGTTCATTGCAGATCTACTGAAGACAAACATGAGAAAATAAATAGAGACAGTCTTAATGTCTCTTGTTCAAGTGAAAGTACAACAAAATCAGGTTGGTTAAAGTAAGGTATCTTTTTAAAAAGTAGTTTAAGGCGTAATATGTATCCATGGAATGAAATGCACTCATTTTATGGATTCCTGAGCTATTTTCTGTGTGGAAAGTGAATAATTGTTAACGTGCGGTCAGAATTGTAAACTGCAGAATTACAAGCAGTGGCTAGTCAGAGAGCTGCTGTCTTTGGTCTAGGGCAGGACTCCTCAAACCTTTTCAACGGGGCCAGTTGAAAGGTGGAGGCGGTGGGCACGGGCCGGTTAGGCGGGGGTGCCCACAGGCATGGGCTGGTGAGATGGCAGTGGCGGCGTGCATGTGGCGAGGCAGCAGCTTGCTTGCTCGGAGATGTCCAAGCGAGTCCAAAATGACCTCTGAGCAAGCAAGCCGCTGCCTCACTGTGCGCAGTGAGGCGGTGGTGGTGCTGGTGGGTGTGCACGCGGCGAGGCAGTGGCTTTTGCTCACCTGGCGATCATTTTCTCCGAGCGAGTCCAAAACGATCTCCAAGCTGGCACCTTGCTGCGCGCATGATGAAGCAAGCAGCAGCAAGCACGGGGAGTCCAAAACCTCTGAGGCAGTCCAGATAAATGGGCATGGCGGGCCCGATCTGACCTGCGGGCCGTAGTTTGAGGACCCATGCTCTAGGGGGTGCTACGCAAGCATGTGAACAGTGATTTTCATCTCCAAAACTACATACAACTTATTGGAGTTGTATCCCTGTGTTGAAAGTGGGCAAATTGCCTCCTTATTCCAGCATAAGGTTTTATCAACTAATTTTTCATTAAAGCACACTGTGAATATAATTTATCTATATTTATATTGCACCTATTTCCATCAAGGAGCCCAGGTTGGCTTTTATAGTCCACCTCATCTCTCCCTTTTGACCTCACAACAATTCTGTAAGTAGGTAAGCCTGAGAGCCATTATAGCTGGGATTGAAGCTTGCTTTCTTTGAAGTAAATAGCATGAGAGAAATTGAAGGATCAAAATGTTTCTTTTGCTGGCTATCCTGAAACCAGTTGAATCCAGGTAATGAAGGACTTGGTTTACTTGTTGCAATAAAACCTTGCACAGAACTTCTTGTTTCTTTGTTAAGAAAATCTGCTAATTCAAAATTACTTGCTCATTGTATATTCAGAGGAAATGTTGTATCAGTTCTTTCCTGCGAAATTTTGAAGTAAAGTTACAGAAGCTATCTAACAATGCTGCTTTGATGATATTTTAATGTAGGTGCCCAGGATAAACAGGAAGTCAAGAAAAAGAGAACAGAGAAAGGAGGAACAGCCAGTAGTGTTCACCCACCTGCTGCCTCTGCGTCCAAACCTTCTGCTGACCAGATAAGACAGAGTGTTAGGCAGTCACTTAAAGAAATCTTGGAAAAAAGGTATAGATGTTATACAAGTGAATGATATTATATGTTGTTAACAGAAAAATATCTACAATATATGTCTTGTTTCAGACTTGCAGATTCTACCCTGAAGATTTCAGAAGAAAGGGCAGCAAAAGTTGCAACTAAGATTGAAAAAGAACTCTTTTCCTTTTTTCGGGATACTGATTCTAAGTACAAGAATAAGTACAGAAGCTTGATATTCAATCTGAAAGATCCAAAAAACAAGGTATGTGGTGTCATCTGTTACCTGTGGACAGCATCCAGTGCTGCTCATGGCTGGTGGGACCTGCTGCTAGCACTTCCTAAAGCAACTTGAAAGAACTCAAAAGACTTGTTTCCAGACTGAGACAGGCCAGAGTAGCTCACAGAAAGTAGCTCAGTTGACCTGTCCTGTACTGAGATTAGTGCTTTTTCGTGTTTTGGCAGTTGATTTAAGAAGCAGTGTATCTTTGTTGCACTTTTGGTTGGTTCTGTGGACTCTATAGAATATTGGATACTGCTTATGTATCCTGGAATCTTTAAATAGTACTTATTTTCTTCCAGGAGCTAGCATGCTTTAATAATGGTGCTCATTGTTCATTTGTTCTATTTGTCCCCCTTTCCACTTAAACTTCCCCCACCCTAAGTCTATGACTTGGTTTGCACATAACAACCATTTATGAGATACTTAACCCATGAGTTGTTAGGGCTGTGCAGCTGTGAGCATGCATATGTGCTGCCTTCTGCCTGGTTGCTGCTGCAATTTTGGATTAGTTTCTGAACAACCCAGGAATGACCCATTTCTGGATTGTTGAATGTGATGTGTGAACCTGGAATTGAGGGTTGTGAAGAGCAACAACAGAGCATAACTTAAAATTCTTGGTTGTTCCTCCTTCAACAAGAATGTTTAACATGCAGTGGAGAATATGCACATGGTTAAAATATGAACATGTTTAAAATCAGTTCATTCTTTAGGTCCAATGTTTGGAGCACAAAGATGCTGTATCTCTGCTCAAAATAAACAAGTGAAAAAGAGTAATCAACACTCCTCCATGACCTTCATTTTTATGGGACTGTGGAGCAGGTTGAAATGTTCTTTTTTCAGTCAGTATTGTTAAAAAATGTAGCAGCATTGAAAACTCAGGGTTTTTAGACATATCTTTTTAGATAGTGTAAACATTTTTCAAAAGCAATAATGACAAGTACATTGAAACAAACTTTAATTCTAGCTTTACGGCAGAACACCTTAACTGAATCACCAAAGCCATTAATGTTGATTGTAGTATATATTAGTGTAGAATTTCTGTAGGACAGCTTTCCCCAACCAGTTGTCTACTGCAGGTTTTGGGCTACAACTCCCAGCATTCCTTTTAACTGGCCACACTAGGTGTGAATGATGGGAATTGGAGCCAGGACATCTGGAGAGCATGGGGTTTGGGAAGCCTCTGTACAGAAAATAGAGCAATTTTAGTGAAGTATGTACAAGTGGGATCGAAATATCTAGGCTAGAATTCTTGTTTTTATTGTATTTGCATTAAGAATCTTTAGGATGTTGGCTGATTATGTAATAATTGATAAACTGTTGTTCTTCCAGATACTATTTAAGAGAGTATTGAAAGGCGAAGTTGCTCCAGACCATCTCATACGAATGAGTCCAGAAGAATTGGCTTCCAAAGAATTAGCTGCATGGAGAAAAAGAGAAAACAGACATGTATGGCTTATCCATGAATACTTAATAGATTACCAATTTCCTGGTGGTAATTCATTCCAATTTCAGAGATGGAGTTATCTTCCACATCCTATGGAATGCTCTGTGGAATCTGAGCTTAAAATTTAGTCTTAGATTACAAAGAAACTAGGATTGTTTGATAAATGTTCCTACTGACTCAAGTTGTGGAATTTTGTATGTTAAACTGTAGTTTGTTCCCAAGTTAAACAACAACATTATCAGAGGTGAATCCATATTGCACTACTGGACTTTATTCAGAGTAACAGTATATGCAAATGAGGGAAAATTTGATGTGCTGAGTATCAAAAAAAGACACAAGAAGCTAACTTATATTGAGTCATCCTATCTAGACCAGTATTGCCCACACTAGCAAGCTGTGGTACCTTCTGCTTGCAAAGCGTATGCTGTGCCACTAAGCTTGCAGCCTCTCTCTCTCTAGCAAAAGGTTCTAGTTCTGCATCAAGGTAGTGGTTGTAGCTGGTGACCCATGACCACCTCCCAGTACTTTGCATTCTCTGAAGTCTAATGGCTTCTTTCTTCAAACATGAGCTGTTCTTTGTGAATTTTAAATGAGATTATGTTTTAAGCAAGCACAAATTTCTAAGTTTATCTAAACTGGCTTAAAACAAAAAGGGTTTAGAAAGTGAGATTTAATTGATCCAGATTTTTTCAATCATATGACTGCTGTGAGGTAGTGACAAGCAAGTATTACTTGTCTATCGGATTGCTCTTAGTTGATGGGAAAGCCTGTAGTAATGGCAGAGAGACCCTGGGAGAACGGGTGCGTATGTACCTGTGCGCTGTGTACACATAGTCATTTCTGATCCCTCTGCTTCTCCAGCTATTAGAGAAGGCCAGGCCAATGTGTGTTGGAAGCGGCTTCCTCTTTGCAGAGGTTACATCCTTTTAATTGTTGCCATATTGGAGGACTTTTCTCAGGCGAAAAAGTAATATTTGAATTTTGCCGGGTAGTGCTGTGCCTATGTGTGAGAGCTCTCCAAACTGTTGGAGAGCCGAGTTACCAGCAGCCAGCCACCTCCTTTCACGTCACGTGCAGCACAAACACAGGCTGCCGCTGGTGCAGTGAGCATGTGGGGCCTGTTTCCTGGTGAGTGCTGGACGTGCTCGCAAGGAACTTGAACTCACAACTGCGAGTGAGTTTAAGCAGATCAGACTTTGAGAAGCTGAGCCCAGGAAACCCATTGGGTTTCCAGCCCTAATAGAAATCCCCCCCCAGCCAACTGGTCATGCTAAATAAATAATGCAAAAGAAGAAATCCATTTTTCCTCTCTAACATGGTCTGTATTTCTTTATCTTAGGGTTTATCTCTTAAGGTATCTTCTGATGGCATTTTCTTAGGTTTTCAAACTGCTTAGCTAATCTGTTATATCTTATTACTTGATAGACAATTGAAATGATAGAAAAAGAGCAGAGAGAAGTTGAAAGACGGCCAATTACAAAAATTACTCACAAAGGAGAAATAGAAATTGAGAGTGAGACTCCAGTAAAGGAGCAAGAAGCAGCTATAGAAATTCAGGTAAAATTTAAACTTGTATATTTAAAATAAACAATGTATTGATTTTGCTAAGTAAGGAAAGCATTCTTTTTGCCTATTTTCAAAAATCTTCTGCTTGCAATTAGTTCAGCCCTCTGGCAAGAGTAATCAGTACCTTCCTTAGTAACCTGATGTATATGAAAGAAGACATGGGCTAAGGGGGAGAGAGAAAGAGCTGGCAGAAAGATAAACAGTAGTTCCCTGTTAATTTTAATGATAAGAGCTTGTTTATGCATGTAAATTACAATGTCATGTAATAGTGAGTGTGTATATGGACTGAATGAAGCATTAATTTTTCTAAACTTTTAATGTTCTGGGATGATACACAGTACAACTATGAGTGCAGTACTGACCTGCAGAACCTGAAGGTATTAAGACATGGAAGGTGAATCCTGATGCTGGCGTAGAGAGCATATTTGCTCTGCTGAATTCTGGTAGGCCAGCAGAAAGTTCAGAGAATAAATCTCCTGCCAGCAGTGTTTTCACCAGGGGTCAAAATAGAACATTCCAGGACTAGAGACGTGGCAAGCTTGAATCCACTGGTATCAAGTCATCTTGTCTCCCCATGATGCCCCAGATCTGGATATGTACATCAGCCTGAAGTTGGTGTAGGCATTTCTCCTGAAACCTGTGGGATGCAATGGGGATAACAGAACTGCTGGAAATGAAGGAAATGCTAATACCACTCCCTTTATTTGTCCTGGCTGGGGTGAGCCAGCAGAGCTTTGGAAGTGATGAAAAATCTCCCACTCCCCACACCCTACACAACTTCGGTTACTTACCATGCTATAATTTGTCACTGCTTAGTTTTTGTAAAATGCAGCATTTTTAATACAACAGTATCAACAAATTATCTGTCTCCTTATGTGCAGGAACCTACTTCACTTAAAATGCTGGAGAAGATAGAAGAGACTGAAAAAGATAAAGAAATTGATGAATCGGCCAATCCTGATACAACAAGTCAACATAAAAACCATTTATTTGACCTTAACTGTAAAATCTGCATAGGTAATACTAACTAGCTTGTACTGAAATTACTGCTTGCCTCATCCTCTTCCCCTACTACATACTGAACTCCTGACGGATAACATTTTTCATAATATTAGTGAGAAAACAAATGGGAGCTTCTTAGTAGGATGAACCATAAAATGATAGTTTCTTTAATAAGTATCTAGAAGTGGTTGAGTGTCTTTAGATTATAGCAATAGCCTGTGCTTCCTTTTTAATGTTAGCCAACATTTTAAACACCATGTCAAGAATTGTTGTTTAATAGCATGATCAGATTTTTTTTTTTTTTGGTCATGAGAGTGATAACTGGTGAGTGCTTTAGTAAAGTTTTTCTAACTTGCCCTTTCAAGGTCGAATGGCGCCTCCTAGTGATGACCTTTCTGGGAAAAATGTCAAAGTTTCAGTTGGAGTTGCCCGTAAACCATCAGACAATGAAGCTGAAAGCATAGCAGATGCACTTTCTTCAACAACAAGCATTTTAGCTTCAGAATTACTAGAGGATGATAGTGAGTTGACAAATCCAGCACTGGTCTCTGCTTCAAGCTCTAGGTAATGGTTTTTGTTTGCCACTTGTCTCAAAGTATTATGCCTCCTGTACTAGCTAATATCATGTGTGAATTAAATACCAAATTGAATTGCATTGTTTAAAATAAGGTGCTGAATTCCCTTGGCAGGAAGGTTGCATTCTATAGATAAGGATAAGGAGTAAAATGTTTCAAACAGAAGTGTAAATTGAAAACTGCTCAGATTTTCAGAAAGACCTGAATGTGTGACTCTGTTGTATGAAAATTCACTAAGTGATACTTCATGTAAGAGTTACCATATCAAAATCTTAATTTCTTTTGTGGATGGGATGCTCCTTGTGCCTCCAAAACAAATGTATAGATGAGTTTCTTATGGGGAACAACATATACAAATGCACCATTGAAATTCATGCTTCTGGTCATTGTAATGTATGTTTGGGGTGTGAATTAGCGCCTGTGATACATGCACCACACATCTGAAATGCCCTTATTTTCTGTGATGACTGAATAATAATTAATTTCAGCAGCAGAGGTCCTCCTCCGGGAACCTTCTTTGAAAGAGGTTAGGAGACAGAGTACTCGAAGGAGAGCTTTCTCTGCGGTGGCGCCCCGACTATGGAATGCGCTCCCTAGAGAGGTCCACCTGGCACCATCATTATATGCTTTTTGGCGCCAGGTCAATACCTTTTTATTTAACCAATATTTTAAAGTTAATTAATTTTAATGGTATATTTATTCATTTAATTCATTTAAACCATGTTATTTTATACTCAGTCGTGGTGTAGTCAATTTATTTGTTTAGGACTGGATACTTTATTTGGGGTTTTAATGTCTGTAAACTACCCAGAGAGCCCTCTGGGCTATTGGGGTGGTATATAAATGCAATAAATAAATAAAATAAATAGTGTGGTAGGATTACTGTTAGGGTTGCAGAAGCGTTAACATAGAACTGCTGACTGTGTGGTCTCCAAGGCTCTTGTCTTAGTAAGTTGCCCTTCTGCTTGCAGTAACATCTGTGAGATGGCCTAGCCCTCAGACATGGTCCATTCTTATTAATGCACAGAGACAAAGTGGACTGAAATACAGACATTTCCTTTCCCCTGAAACTGGTGTCTCCTTTCTACATTCACCAAAGCATTGCCCTCCTAGTCCTCTTCTCTAACCTGCCCATGCCTTTGGAATCCTCCCTACATGATCGCGAGGTACTGGTTTCTTATCTGAACTGCACTGGGGGCTTCAGACAAACATGGCACTGTTTCTTTGCTGTGAGGATCCGGAGAAGGAAAGCCAGACTCTGTGCAGTACTTGCCTTCTGGTTCTCTCTGGATAGCTCCTTGTCTTACTACCTGGCTAAACTCCCTGCCCTGCTCCACCCCCACAATTATCTTACCTCATTCCACATAGCTGTTTGCGACATCTAACAGTGTGGGTAGTTATGGTGGTAGACCTTTGTCAGGCTGCTGCATGATCCCAGCCACCTCCTTTGATTCAGCATTCCCAGTAGTATATCCTGGCCAGGAGGGACACCTCCTTTAAAAGGGTTCTGATCTGCTTTCTGGCTTTTTAGCACTTGCCCATCTCTGATAAATGATCTTACTACTCTGCCCACTTGTGGGACTGCTAAGCGATCAGGTCAAAGAGAAATAGGTTGTCTGCCTTTAACTGTAGGTCATCTGGTCAGATGTTCAAAACCCACCATCCTAACCTTGCCATAGGGATTATTTTGCAGCTGCTTAAACTTTGCTTCCCCTTTTATAGCCACTGTGTTGGTTGGAAGTTTGAATTGTGTGGGAAGGTGGGAGCCATGCCACACTGCACATGTGGTCAGAGGATGGGAAGGGAAATGGGGGAGCTGCCAAAGTAACTTTCTAGCTTAGAAGAATCCTGGGTTAGGGTCTGGCAAACCCATGCATCTGACTGCACAAATGACCAGAAGTACCCTTATAAGGAAGACCCTATCTTAGTTTGCTTTTCTTCAGTATTATCGTTTTTCATTATTCTTCTGCTGCTGGCTCATTGGTGTTAAAACAAAAGCAAACACCTTGAAATTGCTACTAATCTTTCACATATTTCTTTTAATGTGGAATGTTCCAGCAGCTGTTTCCTGCTGTCCCCACCCCCAATTTCATAGGATGGATAGCTTGTAGACATTACTTTTTGCACACTCTCATTCTTCAGATCAGAAACACCTGGCACTGTTGAAAGTGAAACACTATTTCTGGCTCGTCTGAACTTCATTTGGAAGGGCTTAATCAACATGCCATCTGTTGCAAAGTTTGTTATCAAGGCTTACCCGATCTCTGGCTCTTTTGAAAGTTTGACAGAGGTAATGTACTCAATTGCATTATCACCTTTTCTTGAAAATGTCTCTGTATTTTCTTTTCAGCAAGGACGTTAAATCTTTGGCATATATTAGTGTAAAAACTGCCAAGAAGTGCTCCAGACCTAGAAAGGTCTGGAGTTTGGACCAAGCTGTTGCTTGATACCACCTTCCCAAAGCCTGGGCATGATGACTAGAAACATCTCTTAATGGTCTGATGCCATTCAGAAGTGTTGCCCTACAATTCCCATCACCCTCAGTCAGCTCAGCCATTGGTCGCACTGGTTGGGGATGCTGAGAGTGGTAGTTCAGCACATCTGGAGGGCACCGGATTGGCTGCTTTAATAGATGCTTCCAGTTGTCATATTTAGTCTTGTTTAATTTCCTGCTGTATCTTCTAGTTACCATCTAGTACTTTAGGATGGTAACTAGAAGATAGAGCAGGGAATTAAACCCTAATCTTAATCCTATGTTTCCTGCACCTTTTGATGGCCTTTTTGCTCACTGGCCCATTTGGTATAATTTTGTAAAATGCTGTGCATTGAGAAGAATGGAAAGGAATCTACTATTAGTTCTGATTTAGTTGTAAAATTGTTATGTCCATAAAATAACCTCTGTAATGTCTTTAAGATGTTTATATATATATATAGTAATCATTGTAAGAGTGACTGTTGTTTTACAGTAGAGACATAATCTTTTTTTCCTCATAGGATTTGCCAGATAGCATCCAAGTAGGTGGCAGGATATCACCTCAGACCGTGTGGGAATATGTCGACAAAATAAAAGCTTCAGGGACAAAGGTGAAACAGATTTATTATTCTTGAAGTAAAGTGTTCATTAATGTTTTCCTATATTTAAAATGTTCTTTGCTGCTGCTGCTGCTGCTCCTCCTGATCCTCCTCCTCCTACTACTAACATTTCTGAGTGCTCCCGTGGAGATGTTTTCTCTGGTTTTAGGGAGAGAGCTTCTAGTCTGCAGGCCTTCACTGTAGGACCCATGCCTGTGGCCCACTGGCACAAAAGCTTCACTGGCAGCTTGCAAATCTGAGACAGTGAAGCTGGAGGAGCTGCAAATCGTGTGCTTCCCCCTTCTCCTGCCAAGAGGAACTGCTGCTGCCATGCTTTCTCCCTTTATGGGAAGTGGGGTCTCCTTGGAGAACACTTGAAGTACAGGCAGTCTCCAGAGACACCCCTGCAGATCCTAATTCTGAGGAAGAACCCCTCAGGGCCAGGCATTTGCATGTGGCTGACTTTCTAAAAAACCACTGGCTTTTGCTCTTCTGGTGGGCAGGGAAGAAGGCGATAAATTGAACAAGGGGTGAAGGGAGGACAGAGAGGAACGTTGGCTTGGGGGCAGGTGGAAAGGCACGGGAAAAGAGACAGATGTGGAGGTTGGGGGAGGGGGGAAGCAGATGCGGGTGATGGGCAGTGGGGGGACAGATGTGGTAGGGAGCAAGGGGGGCTTTCGCACTGATTTTGTTTTGCCAAAATGTCTGCCGCTTAAACACTGAAGACTACTTTTCCAGCACGTTTCCAAAAGTTTGGGTGGGGGTGGCTCGCAGTTTTCTTGTATTCCCCACCCCTGCAGTACTGAATTCTAGTTTGAAAAAAAGACTTGATGATTTGTAAATTAACTGCCTCCTCCTCTTCTCAACAGGAAATCTGTGTTGTCCGTTTCACCCCTGTGACAGAAGAAGATCAGATTTCATATACTTTGCTCTTTGCATACTTCAGCAGCAGGAAGCGTTATGGAGTAGCAGCCAATAACATGAAGCAAATCAAGGATTTATATATTATTCCTTTAGGTGCCTCTGATAAAATTCCACATCAGTTGGTGCCTTTTGATGGTCCTGGTAAGTAACAAAAGTAGACAGAAAACCTGTTTTGGACCCAAGGGATGTTTGGAATAGAGATCTAGCTTTTAACATTTCAGTTGCAGAAGTTTTCAGTATCCTAAAACACTAATAGTTTTAAACTTTTATTTGGGAACATTCATGAAACATGTGTATTTTGTAATTGTTAAATATATACAACAAATATGCATTTCTTCTCAGCTAATAAATAAAGTTAATAGTCTTGATTTACAAGTACTAGCTATTTGTAGGGCAGGAGTTCTACTTACAAGGCAGACTCTTGGGAGAGATGAAAGAGTACATTTGATTAATACTTCTCCAGTTACAGTTAATAATACATGTGACTCACGTGAGCCTTTTCAGATTGCAAAGATATAGGTAGCTTTCTGGTTGAAACTTTTTTTTCTCTTGAGAATCATTTTTATCTTATTAATTATACTACTGTGATTTTTTAATTTAGGGATTGAAGTACACCGACCCAATTTGCTACTGGGTTTGATCATTCGTCAGAAGCTAAAAAGACAGTTCAGTGCAATCACTAATACAAGCTCTAGTCATGCTGAAGAAGGTCCTGAAAATTTGCTACCAGAAAAGAAAAATAAACCAAGCAAAACTGAAATCCTTCATTCTGAATTAGTAGAAAAGGAAGAAGAAAATGACTTCTTTAACTCTTTCACAGCTGTGTTGCACAAACAGAGGATTAAGTCACAACAGTCTAATACAGAAGATATAACAGTGAATGAACCTGTTGTGGAGAGCATAAAACTTGAGCCACCAAAGCCCCTGCGGTTCCTTCCTGGAGTTTTGGTTGGATGGGAAAACCAGTCTTCTGCCCTTGAGCTAGCAAGTAAACCATTACCTGTAGATGATATTCTAAAAAGCCTTTTGGATACTACAGGGCAGATGTCTGAACCAGCAGTAGATCAGTTTGCTAGTACAGATCTGCCTTTATCAGATAAACAGGCAAGCATAAAAGAAGAAAAAATGGACATTCCAGAAATAACTGCTGGCATTGAAGAAACTAAGAGTAAAAAGGACAGCTCAAAAGAATCCACTGACAGTATCTTAGCAACTGATACACCGGTAGCAGATGTCTCCTTCTCTACAGGTAATCTGACAAGTCTAAGTCTTAAGGGGAAACCACCAGATGTTTCTACTGAAGCATTTTTAGCAAACCTAACTATTCTTTCACAGAACAAAGAAACCAAAGAAATGACAGAAAATAGTCAAAAGTTGGGTGATACAGATAACATTTCTCAGGAAAATGAAAGAACCACAGATTTTCCTGTCCCATCAAGCATGGGGAAAGGAGCTGGGAGCAATAATACAGGTTTAACAGCGGTTGATTCTGTGACACATAATAGTTCAAAATCTCCACAGTTCATTAATTTTAAAAGGGATCCAAGGCAAGCAGCTGGACGAAGCCTACAGAACAGTAGCTCAGAAAATGAAGGCGACAGTATTAAAACTGAAGAAATGCAATGCAGTCAACAGCCAGAGATACCAGAGATGGAACAGACAAATGTTGACAATAAGCAGCCTTCAGGAAATGACCTGGCCCCAGATCAGAGTGAGAGTCAAGCATGCAAGAAGGCCTCTAAAGCTGACAGTGCCTGTTCCTCACAGCTGGAAGATACAAATCAGTTGCACAAAGAAGCACTGCTGCAAAACATTGAGACAGTGCACACTGTCAGGCGAGGGTTACTGCCGCTGCCTCCGCCGTCATCGTCGTCGTCGTCATCTCAGTTTGAAACGGAAAATTCTTGCCGTTCTGAGTTCAGCACCAAAATATCCAGTCCTGCTGCAGGTAGCAACTTCTCGCCAATCAGGACTCCACAGCCCAATTTCCAGCACACTAAAAGTACTCCACCTGGTTTTCCGTTCCAGGGAAATGTTGCCCCTGCCTTCCCTCCGCAGAACAACCCCCTGTTTGGGTTTCCCCCTCATTTGCCCCCTCCACTCCTTCCTCCTCCAGGCTTTGGCTTTGCTCAGCCCCCCTTGGTGCCTTGGCCCCCTGCTCTCCATCTTTCAGGTCAGCCCCCGCATTTTGTTGGGCCAGTTACACCAGCACCCCCCCTGGCCCACAAGCAGTCGAGATTCTCAGGGCCAGAACACTTCTTTCAGAGTAGAGACACCAGGAGACCAGAAAGGCGTCACAGTGACCCTTGGGGCCGGCAAGCCCCACAACTGGAGAGGGCATTTAGCAGGAGGAAAAGCGATCAGCATAGGCAAAGGTTTTACAGTGAATCTCCCCACCAGAAAAAGGGCAGGCATGACTGGGAGCCAGAGTCTGAAAGGAATAGGCATAGAGAGAGAAGCCAGGATAAAGAAAGAGAGCGGAAGAACAGGGAGGAAGGGCATCGGGACAAAGAGAGATCACGGCTTTCACATAGTGATAAGGACGCTGAAGGCAAATCCTCAAGAGAAAGTAGGAATCCTGAAAAGAAGGAAGTGCCTAAAAGCGAGGAGCGCACTCATGAAAAGGAGAAAGAGAGAGAAAAAAGCAGGGAGAGACATAGAGAGCGAGATAGTGAAAAGAACCGTGAGAAACATCACAAAGACAGGGACCATAGTGACCGAGGGAAAAGCAAAAGGTAAAGCAAAAGAAAAAAGGCACAGGTTGTCTTCTAATGTTTTAAATGAACAAGATATAATCTGTTTTACATACATCCTAAAACTCTCTGTAAAAAATATATATGCTTGGGTATAATTGTGCCATCAATTCTCCTTTTTTATATTCCGTGTTTAGTGTTTTGTAGAAACAAGTCTGGTTCGGTATCAGTCCATGTACCATTTATTCATTTTCTTTACTTTCTATTGACCTAGGAGTAGAACTGAATAGTTCCAACATTTTACATTGCTTGTATAGTCAAGATTGTAAGGGTTTCCTATTAATATGCAATAAAAGGCGCATAAAGGTTCTTTGTCAGATTTGACTTCAGTTGAGATATTTGCAGTCTATAGTGGTTTGTGCTCTCTCTTTGATGCTCTTCCAGTTAACTCTAAGGGTGGATTCTTCTCATTCTTCTGAGACGGCACTGGCTTTTTTAAAATGGACTTTGGCAGAGCCTCAGAAACCATATTCATATTCAGTATACATAAGAAGCTGAATGGCAGTGAAGACATTCAGAAGAACAACCACAAGAAAAAGAGCAGTATTGATCATCAGATATTTCCCACACATCTGAAACAGCTTGTGAGCAGAAATTAGAAGGCCACCTGGTTCCAGTTCGGTTGCTTTAGGGCACATTTATTTTAATATTTTACACCATTAGCCTTTATGCTATGATTTGAATTAATTTTCCAACCATTTCCCATGCTTTCAAAACTTGAATACCTAAGCTTGTACATGACATTGTGTTTTACTATCCTTTATATTGTAAAATGTAAATATTTTAAGGGATATTTTGATTCTACAAATGATAAAGCCTTCTCACAGCTGTTGTTTGTTTGATTTTAATAGATGTGAAGCAATAGGCTAAAACAATATAACAGAATGATGTATAAATGTGGCTTGGCTTTACAATTCATGACTGGTAATTTTTAATAACCCTAGGGTTTTTAATAAATAGATAAGTAAAAATTGTGTGACTTTCTGTGGAAAACTATAGTATATTGCTATTTCTGTCAGATACCATTGCACTGTTCTGTTCAACAACCTGTTCCAAAATACCAAGTAAAATTAAGAGCATTGTGCATAAGGAACCTTCTTGAGTAACTCACCTGAGCAATGAACCTAAATTTTTGCACTTTGGTATCAAAAGAAACTTTCTTCCAATAATATATGATTAAAACAAATTGTTAGGCTATTTTAAAATCATATTTAAATATAACAGCCGTTTTGCAAACCTTGCACATGGCTTTATATAGTCAAATTAAAAATGCTATATCATATATAATGCTTGATGGTAGCTTTTATTTAAAAATGTAACTAGATTGTTGGCTTTTAAGAAATGCTTTTTAAAAAGTACCACTTAGACTGTGTTCGTGTGAAAGAGAAGTCCAAGATCACATTGCATGCGGATGTAAATTTTTGCACATGGGAGGTGCTGGAATCTGCACTTAGCCTTTTTATATGCCAGCTGATAGTGTCCTTTTCATCTCCCAGTTGCTTCAGCCACAGCTTTACATGTTTCAGTCGCTCTTGTGAACAACCTCTAATCAGTGATTTTTACCCAGCTGGTTTCCCAAGGCCAAGAGCCAGACTTCTGGACTCTTTCCTCTTACAGAAAGTAGAAAGCCAGAATAATAACCTGCATGATATCAAACATACCAGAAATTAGTTTCATTATTAGTATAGGGGTATGGGGAAAGGGGGTAGGTAAACCGTTGGTATTGTGCTAGCATATCGATTCTGAATGGTTTCCAAAACAGGAATATTTGGGAATTGGCATATAGCATTTTAGAGGAATTTGCAAGAGGGAACCATATCCATTTATTGTGTAGCACTGAATCTGAGCTGTCATATCAAATAAAGTCCAGGAGTGTGTCTCACTTGCATTAGTTCAAATAGAGAACAACTGAAGAGCAAAGAATTTTAGCTACTCTGCCCTCCCCTCCCCTCCCCTCTTCTCTTTTCCCAAAGCAGGAACCAGTTTGAGCTGTCTATTCCTTGTGTTTCCTTGCATGCTTATGTAAAGTCTACGAGGTTAACAGTAATGGATCAATGCTGAATATGTGAAAAGTACAGCACACTTTCCCACAGTGTCGTCGTGCTATCTCTCCTTTGGTATGTGCCTACTGACCAGAGTGCCGGGTGCTCATGCTCTCTCAGCCCTTTTGGCTGTTTGGCTAGTACCTAAACTCATGTGTCAGAGGTCAGGAAGGACACCTTATCTCAGTCTTTATTTGACTGGTGGATGTTTTTTTGCCTTAATAGATTTTCTTTTGGACTACTTGGCAAAAGCCTTTTCCATCTTCCCCTGCCCTCCACCTGTTAGTATTTTGTCATAAAGTGGGTTAGTGAAGCATTTTCCTATTCTTTTGTTCCCTTCCCTTTTTTAGTCTTAATATGTAGAAAACTTAACCCTGCTCCTGCATATATTGTTGTGGGGAAAGGGTGTAGTTTTGTGATATGACACGTGAAACAAGATTCTGCACATGTACTCTATAGAGTAAGTGTCTATCTCCTAGAGTTCTAGCATTGTATAAAATTCAAGACCTGCTAGATACTGAAAAAAGGAAGGTTGTTGTAAAGCAGCTTATCTAGCTAGTGCCCCACCAACTGGGCTTCACAATTGGAAGATGGATTGTTCACAAAACAGTTCATGACACATGTAGGGCGAGAAAGCACGGTGCAGAATTGTCTAGCTAGAAATGAAAACACAGGAGGTTTACCTCCACTGAGGTAGACCTATTTTTCTGTATTCTTGATACACATTGTAGGATGACTGATGCTCCAGCATATCATAGGATAGCAAAGGACTTGGAAAATGGTAGCTGCCATCATCATAGGCTACTTCCAAGAGGGGAGGTTCTAGCCAAAGATGCCAAGTTTCTCTTAATCCACCTCCTTACTGTCATCAAGCAGCCCATGAAGTTGGCTATCAATGACAAATGCCTGCTGTAGTTTTGTCCTAAGCATTCAGTTATCAGTTCACAGGCCAGTACCAGTATTTGGAGCTTTTAACCTGGTTTTCACAATGTGACAGCCCACCATAGCCTAATTAACCTGTGTGGTAAGATAAATGGCACACCGAGTGAGGTGCCATTTTCCATGGGGCCTGGATGCCATCTTGTGTGAATCCAGGGGGCAGAAGTTGTTTATGGTTTAGACAATGTTCAAATAACCCTAAAAGAAGCAATAATGAGGGTTGTTTAGCCTGCAAACAACCTCTATCACCTTCATTCTGAATACTCAGCAAGTTACACCCATAAGTACCTGGCACAACACAGCCTCAGTGAGTAAGTTAACTTAAGCTAGGTTGCTTTGTAGTGCAAATCAGGTTTGCAAAAGGAACTAGGACAGTGGAGTCAGAGGTATGCCAAGGAATGTGTTTGGCTCATTAGTTTGTACCCATTGGTATGACAATTGAAGAGATGTTCCACAACAACAGTCAAAATGTTGGGTTGTAATCGGAGCGGGGGAAATTCCAAAGGTGCATTTGACAGGGCATCCTAGATGTCTAAATGTGGTCTTTCAGAATCTTACTAAGTCCTTTGAAATCTTGCATACATTTGCCCTATTGAGAAGGCAATAATTTTTCTGTTGGACTTCGCTATAAGTAATGAACCATAGCTCTCATTAGTTCCAAATTGTGTGATCTCAGACCTCTCATAGATTCAAGCACTGATAACTCAGAATTATAGGAGAAAACTAAGTAGGATGGTAGTTGCCCTCTTGTCCAGCCTATTTGTTGCCTGAGTGGCTCTTCTCCCAAAAGGAGCAAGGCCACAGTCCCCTTAACATATCCCAAGAACTACATCCACAAATGCAAATAAATGACTGAATGACATTTGGGAAAGTAATCCAATGTTACAAGAACAAATCTGCTCCTTCCCCCATGTAACCTTCACCTCAAGTCTCCTGAAGGCCGCACCATCTCCTGGAGCAAATCTGAGGTGCGTGAGGGAAGGGTCTACACTGGTAGTGTCTGTCCTGCTGGTGGATTTGATGCCACTGGAGTCAACCCACTGGGTCAGGCAACAGCTCTGTTTTCTGAATTATTTCAGTACAAAATAGAGAGGAAACCCCCCACTATGATATAAACATTTTATTTCACAATAAAAACAAGCAACTGAAGGGAGACATTAACTGTTGTAGCTGCTATAATTTATTTAAGCGCTATAGAACAGATACTGTTTTTATTTCCATACATATTTATGTGGGTACAGGTTTAGAACTGCCACAGTTTCTGTTTATTCCAAGCAGTGAGGTATCAGTATTGATAGGGGAAGTTCATATTTATTCTAGTGAATTGAGTGCTTCTTAGAAAATAAGTATCTCAAAAGCTGAAATGGTAAGTACACTCCGAAGTGAGTTTGAAATCACTGGAATTTCCACATAAATCTGTTTAGCAGCATGATGTTCGACTCAATGTGCTAGAAATAAATTTTGGGGGGAAAACCCTGCATATGAAAATAAAATGCTTGCCACATGCTTCCTGAAAGTACTTCTATTACCCATAAAACTCCTATAACAATTTAATATTAACCCATCAGCATCAACACCCCAAGGCCTGGGCTAGACTAGAGGCTGACATAGATCACTGACAGGGCTTTTTCTGGAGTAGCTGCATATCTTTGTAACTCACTCCCAGGATGAGCATGTATGGTCCTTTCTGTTTTAGATTTTAAGCAGCTCTTTAAAATTAGTGTTCCAAACTCTTAAAAGTGCTATGAGTTGGATTTAGAACTACTGCTTTTAGCTTTATAGTTTTGCAGTGAAGGTGATACAAGTCCACTTAAATAAGTGATAGTTTCCTGTACTGAAGAATGGACAATCTATTTTGGGCTGCAGGCTCAAAAATCTCATTTTTGAATGCTGCATCATGTCCTTCCCTCTGCTCTGAAACAAAAATAAAATAGTACCTTGAGATTGAAAAGTAGGATTGCATATGGGAATTGAGGGATGGGTAAATAGGAAAAGAGGATGCAATTATTTTCATTTTTAGATACTTTGGTTTAGCACCCTAACCTGATGTCCTTCCAGATATTTTTGACCATCAGCCCCAGCCAGCATACCCAATGTTTGCAGATTGTAGGAGTTGGTATCCAAAATATCTGGAGGATAGCAGGTTGGGAAGGCCATTACAGGAACGAAGGGGATGGTCCAAAGGCTGCATTGAAAAAGTGAATTTTGAGAAGGGCCTTAATGGAAATAAAAGAAGTGGTCACACAAAGGCATTCTGAGGAGTCATTCCAGGCCTGAGGAAATGGAGAACTTGGCTATATGCATTGCTTTGTGTGTGTGTGTAGCGTTCAACAATAGCATTCCACATCTGCATCCATACATACAGTCCATTTTACCATCTCAAGAAAGTAGGAAATACCTGCATCAGTGACGCATGTGGGATGTGACAAAGATTAAATGAATATTTTCTAGCAAACTCACGTAAGCTCTACAGACTGTTCCTTCCTCGGTCCCCTCTAAGCCCTCTTAATACCATATTTAAAATCCAGCCATTTTTCATTTTTATGTGCATTTTTTTCAAAATTCTTGCTTCCAAACAGATTAGAATGAAGGAACACAAACAGAAGATGTGTTGTCATCTCCCCCTGAAAATACGTTTGACAAAAAATTGTAAATGTTTATTTCTTATTTTGTATTCAATTTCTGAATAATTCTAAAGCTTAAAGGAAGAAAATGACAATGAGAAGATGCTAACAGAAAGTGCATATCATTTATTTCTGTATTGAAAATTACAGTGGTACCTTGGCTCACAAACCGGCCGTGACCCAAACTGGTCGTGAGCCAAGTCAAACTTCCCCAGAAGGTTCAATGTAAATAAGATTAATCCGGTAACTTTTTTTTTTCACTCACATAAATGTGAAGCAAAGTGACAAAGAACAACAAAGATCATGGCCATCTCCCCACCACCCCAAGCGATTGTGCTGCGGGGGTGAGATGACCACAAACGTGCTCGAGGATGGGGTGAGATGGGTGCGATCGTGGGCACACTGGGGGGGGGGGGGGGGGGGCTGGGGGGATCCCAGCCACCCCCCCCCCCCCAAGCACAATGGGGGCCATCTCCCCCCCCCCCCCAGCATGACCATGATTGCACCTGTGCAGGGAAGGCTGGTGCGCTCGTGACGGTCACCCGATGCAGAGTTTGTGACCTGTGGCAAAATTTTTATGAAATTTCTGTTTGCAACCCGATTTGGTTGTGAACTGAGGTGTTCGTGAGCTGAGATACCCCTGTAGTTTCATTTCATTGATCCTTGGGTATACAGAACTACTAACCACAGTAAATATAGAAAATAAGTTTTCCTATTATCTAAATAATACTTTAATTTGATTACTTCAACTTTAATGAAAATACTAGTGATTTTCTTTCAAGCATTGGCCAAGAAAGTTTAGAACCACATTTTCTTTACTTTAAGAAGGTGAAGTGAGTTTAAGCAAGGTTGATTTGTCATTTCTAAGGAATAGTTTCAAATCTATCTTTTGTAGCTGTGGCAGGGAAGACTTGGAAACTGGGAAAGGCAGCTGGGCCTTAGGGAGCACACCAGAGAATCAGGAAGTGGCAAGGGGGGGGGGCTAAATTGAGAGGACTCCTAGCCATTCAGATGTAGCAAAAGAGGACTATGACCACGACTACTACTGTTCTAGAGGGAAAGTGACTAAAAGTAGGACAAATAGCCTAAAAAGCTTGCACCTGAGGAAATAATGGTGGAAGATGAAGGAAGAGAAAGGAAACAGTAGGACTTGGACTAAACTATATGGTCTAGAGGCAGTGCTTGTTGGTAGGCATGAGGGGGCGACAGAGGATATATGACATGTTAGTCTTGGGAGACAATGTCCCAAATTTCACATGCTGATTTGAACCAACCAGTTATTTGCCTGCACATTTTCATTATTTTATTGTGGATTATGCATGGTAAGTAGAGTTTTATCTCATACCTACATATAAAGACAGCTTTTATTTAATCCTTATCTCCACTATAGATATTATAGCCTTCTGCCTTAATGAGCATGATCTTCTTGGAATCATGAAAGAGAGCAACATCCTTAATTTTACCAATTAGCCCCTGATTAAAAAGCCCTGAGGTAACAGTTTGTACACTCTCATCAAGCCCAAATCCTCCAAAATAGCAAATGCCTGCATAGTTTAGAACTAAGTATTTTCTTTGTGGGTCTAGATCTTCAAAGAGAACCAGTTCCCCATCAAGATACACTTTAATGAGTGTCTCATTTTGTGCAATGGTGACAAAATGCCATTTTTTGCAACACAGAGAATTTGTGCGTACAACAAGAGGGATGCCAATTCTTTCTCCAAGGTTAACTACAACTTTCAGCATTCCGTCAGCAAGTCCTACTGCAAGGAAATCATTGTCTTCATTCTCCGCCTTTCCTAACCATACAAGTAAACCATGCATCTGACTGGTAGTAAAATTGAAAGAGAGTTTAGTAAATCTGAGGTCCCTTGTATGATAAATGGGATCTCTGTATTTGATGAATGAATTACCTGTGAATTTTGCACTAAAAAATGATACCTGTTTTTCACACTGGAGGCCTGTCCAGCCAAGTCTACATGCACACCTGGATGAAAATAGAACAGGATTGGGAATACAAATACCACCATGCAGGCACTTACTATTTGAACAATAAATAGATTGTTCACATAACTTACCCGTCCAGTGCTTGGGGCATAAGCAAGAAAAACTAGAGGTTTCAAATCTACATGTTCCATTGTTTTTACATACTTTGTACCCACAAGGGGTTCCATCACAATCCCCTATATTTGCACCACCTTTAGCACTGTGCTCAGTGAGTTTTAATTCTTTGTCATTGACCAGAACCTCTCGAATGCAGCCAGTAAAGCCAATGGGCTCATTCTTAACCGCCATGGGATTAACCATGCTTAAAGGAGATACCCCTCCTACATAGAAATCTGTGTGTGTGTCTAAGGCAGTCATGCCACTGGTGGGTTTCTGGGTTATATTGATGCCGTTGAGGTCCAGGTAGCCTTCATTGCCAACTCTTCCTGCTTTAAGTAGGTACCATGTGCCGTTTGTGATGCGTACATTCTGAAATGTCTGCAAAATTACAGTTCTGTCACCAAGGTTGTAGCGCAGTTGTACATATCCGCTTGCTAAGGAGATACTTAAGAAATCACCTAGGGAGAAGAAAAACAGAATGTTCCAGCAATCCAAAAAGCATAGTGACTGCACAACTCGTGACCTGACAAGTCCACTGTGCCCCACCACATATGGCATGGCAGATGCTTGGCAGCTCAGTTGTTCTGCAGTTCAAAGGCAAGTAGTGAGACGAGAGCCCCTGGTATCCCTCCTTATGTGGCTTGTAGTCCCTTTGGAATGGCAGGTCACACGTTATGCAGGCCAAATGCAGAAGTGGTACAGCTGTTTGCGAATCGAATGCAAAGTGGTAGTGGGGGGAGAGGGGGTGGAGTTGGGAAGGAAATGATTTTTAGAAAATGGCAAGGACAAGATAAGGAAGGGGGTGATGCCTCTCTTCAAATTTACAATCCTAGAGAGATTCTTGCATCCTAAACGCATTGCATTGTGTTCAGTCGCAGCAGTCGACTGACCAACTGCATTGCCATGAGCCTTCAATCCGAAATCATGCAGCAGGCCTTCGTTGCAGCAAGTGGCTGTGAGGTGTGGACAGTGTTGGTTAAAGCTTACATAAGTGGCAAAAGAAATGGTTAAGGCTTAAATTGCAAAGGCTTATACAACGGTGGCGAAAGGGAAGGCTTTATGTAAGGTGCTTTGCAAATTAAGCAACAGAAGTCCCTTTCATTTCTTTTGGCAGCTGCTGAGAATACTTTTGGGCCTTTCATCAGTCGATATTGGAGGGCAAACATAACAGAGGCAAGGCTCATTTTTTCTTCTCTCTAACTTCAAATGGAATTTATTGAGAATATGGCTATTCTCCATACATTATGCTACTCTACTGAAGGGAGGTGTTTTACCTGGAGAGGAAAATGACTGAATGAAAGAGTTCTGAGGAAATGTTCCTGTTAGAGCTTAAGAGAACCGGCTTATGTTTCACATCCTGTTACAAATACCCTTTTTCAAAATACAGTTGGAAGTTAGCCCCATGATTTCAATGGAGTTCATTTTCCAAACAACTATGCCTAAGATTGCAATCTTGGATATAAGTTCTTCTCCTCTACTTTTGTTGTTTGTTTTTCTACAAAGAGAGTTAAGTGCCAAGACTGTCCAAAGGACAATGTTCTTTTTTACTTCGACGGTCTGGTTTTGGTTTGGCAGGGAATACACATGCTCTTCTCTTCACATCAGTCCTCCTGCTTAATGCTATCCCTTAATTCCATCTCCACTTTTTATCTGGTTCCAGACATAGTATGTTAGTCAGGTTTGTAATATAGGCAGGGCCTGGCTTGGGAAGGAGTAGCAGGAGTAGAGGGTAGAATGAAGAAAGTGCTCTTCTTCTACTAGTAGTAAAGGTGGACCCAAACCTACCAAGAAACCCAGAAGAGCAGAACATTTTTCACAGGTGACTTGGTGCTGCGCTTCTGTGTTGCTTGAGAGGAATGGTTTTGACTGAGGCAGTGATATGCCAGGACCTGACTCCACTGCCACACCTGTTTGAAGAACAAGAAGGGGTGAGGACCAAGGAAGGAAGGGGTTCTGTTTCTCCTTTAAAAACAAAGCAAAACCATGTACAAGGAAATGAATACTTAAGGGGGGGGGGGTCCTGGGTTGCCTTGAGGCTGTGAGCAGGAAGGACAGGCTGCCCACCTGTAACTCTAGTTCTTTGAGCGGTCGTCTGTGAACTCACTGGTAGAGGCTCACTGCCTGTTCAGAGCCTTCGTTCGCAACGTTCCAGAGCTGCACAGAGCTTTAGGCATGGTTCCTGCCTCAGCTCCAAGTCTGCCGTAGCAGAGACACAAGTAAAGAGATGTGGCAGAGAAGAGGGCTCTCTGAGGGCTCACAGGTGGCCACTTGGTGATCAACGCGTACAGGTAAGCAGCGTGTCCTCTACTTTCATGATCTCTGTGACTCAGGCACAAGTGACTGATAAGGCAGACTCATCAGTGGAAAAAGATGTCACTTCAAGACTGTCGAGGGGACTGCCTGGCTGAAGGCTGCCTCTGTGTTCGCCTGGCATTCAAGCGGTCACTTCCAATGAAAGTGGAGGGCTGAGGCTATGGCTATGCAGCTGCAGAAGTGGGTTTGCAGAGAAAGGCAGTAGGTGAGGCCAAAGCTAAGGCTGGAGGCTGTGCACGTCTTGTGGGGGCTTAGATAATAAGGTTGACATGCCCTGAGTATTCTCAATGTCACCCATTTGGCAAAGCCCTGTGGACACATACAGTGCCCTTTCTTTGGTTCAGAATAACCCAAAGACAAGAGGAGGGAGGTCCAGAATGTGGCCTTGTATTTAAAAATCAAGTGAGTGGAACTTTTCTTCCATGTCTGAACTACCGTGCCCATGCATTTCTTGAAGATCTTAAGCAGGTAGCCAGGCCAAAAGGGAGAACCTTGAACTGCCAGAGGAAGGACGTACAGGTAGGCAGTAGGAACACAGATCACCTGTCCAAGCCAGTAATACAGCAGGAGAAGCTTGTGTTTCAGAAGAAGACTACTTCCAGAAGCCAGATCTGGTTAGAAGGCCATTTGGCTGGGTGGAGATTTAGGGGATTTGGCCTGAGGTAAAAGACATTCTTAGAAAGCAGCAGTGCCTTATCAGTCCTAAAGAATTGTCACTAATCAGACTTTTGAAGTCCCCAAAATAAATATTATCAGTTGCTTATATCCAAAACGTTCCTTTAATAAATAATTGGTTTGATTGTTCAAGTTGGTACCTGTCTCATGCCAACTACTAGGAGGTTTTGAAGTATTCTAGCAGATTGGTGACAGTGGGAAATGTTCCACTTGGGGAATTTTGCATTATAGTGGCAGAGAGTTCCTTAGGCATGAAACAGAATAATTAAGAAACCCCATAGGACTGCCCAGTAAAGGAGCAGTTTCCCCATGGGAATGGCAGTGGTGAGAAGAGGAATTCCCCCATTCAGTTCATGATGATGGTGGAGAACACTTCCTGAAGAGGCTGATGATGGTGGGGAGAAGTTTCAGTGCCAAGGAGACCATGAACTGTGTGGTCAAGTCCACACTTCAGCTTTGACCAAACTCATTGCAGTGCAGTGTCAGCTATTCCCTGCCTTCTCCACCCTCTGGAGCATGGTGGGAAGGGAGGCTCCTGATGAAGCAGGAGTGTCTGTCTCCTAACCCCTCGCATGCAAAGGGTCCCAAGCTTTTGAGGAAACAAGACTTCCCAATTTCTCTCTGTTTAACTTGATTTCCCTTTCAAAGGTCAGTAGCAAGGAGGAGATTGGATGACACCCACAATCCTCTTCATCAGTGCTGTGGCGTTCTTTTTAAATCCACAATGATGCATGGACAAAGTGGCACAATAACCATCTGGTTTTAAGTGAAATAGGTACATTTTCACTAATTTTAGAAAGTGTAAAAAAACCCACCCACAATAGCGATGAAATGGTAATCAGACCAGGGAGGAGGCAAACACACCAAGGAACAAAGAAACCACATCAAATGTAGAGGGGAGGGGGAGTGATAGAAGCTTAATAAAATTAAGAAAAGCTGTTGCTGCTAAAGAAGCAAGGGGGTGGATACACAGCTTGGCTGTTTCACAGGCGGCCTTTCCTCATCCATTTGGAGAAAACATCACCAGGAAACAAAGCAGCTTTGCGATTGATTCATGCATGAGAAATAAAGAAAATGGGGAGGGAGCAGACACTGCCCATATCACACCTCCTGTGCGGGTAAAACAAGTCGGGAGGCACCCCCCACCCAAGGGGGGAAGGGGGATGGAAAGAAAATTCTCCTCCGGGCTTGCCTAAGCACATAAGAAGAGCCCTGCTGTCCTGGCCAAAGGCCCATCGAAGGCAGCATTCCTTTCACATGATGGCCAACCTGCACCCTCCTTCCCATATTCCCCAGCAACTGGTTTGCACCATCAGAACTAGAGGTCACCATAGCCCTCTCCTCCATGCATTCTGCTCCTTTTAAGCTATCCAATTTGGTGCACAGTACTCCACCTTGCAGAGGTGAATTCCATGGCTTCACAATGTGCTATGTGAAGAAGGCCTTCCCTTGCTCTGTCCAGTATCTCCTACCCTGGGGTGACCCACACAATGGACGGTACTAGAAGCTGCCTTTCTTGAAACACCCTTCCGATGCAACTTCCCAGCACTCTTCATATGACACGAACTACAGTGATCTTGGCTGACCTAAGAGTATGTTTATCAAGAATGCAGAACAAGTCTCTCACCTCCAGGCATGGTGAGTGTGAGTGAGTGTGAGTGTGAGTGTGTGAGGTTAGTTTATTCATCTTCCTCAGTTGATAAAGAACCAACTCAGTTGATAAAGAACTAAAGAAGAGTCATGTATGTTTGCTTTCATCACCTCCTACCTGATCTTGGACTCAGGTGCTGGGCAGTATAAAAGAGGATGCCATTTTCCGAATGGGTCTGGAATTGCAGCTGGATATGAACCTTGTGTCGAATATTGAAGGAATCAAAGGACATCCAGGAAGATTTGTTGCTACTGAAAGATGCATCACTTATGGTTAGGGCTACAAAACAAAACAGAAAAATAACATCATCTCTCTAACGGACAGTGACGGGTTTTTGCTTTAGCACTAGCAATACAAAGCACAATGCTTTCTCCTAAGGCAAACTTTAACTCAAATGCAAGACTGAAAAGAGGTGTGTGTTTTAAAACAATAACTTTCCTCTAAACTTAAATATATATTTTCTACAGGTGTTAGCAATAAATCCAGTGTAAGCTAGGCATGTGCATCTGGCGCTTCATGCAGGATTTTGCTCTTGGCATGCAACTGTAATGCCTCACAGGGACACCTGGAGTGGTTTGCTCAAAGGTGAATTCTGCCGGTAGTAGTGGATGCCTGCAACTGCTTTGCCATGAGGCAGGGAAGGGCACACGCAGCCACCATGTAGCTGAGGGTTGAGGTGAAAAAGCCATGCATCTTACAGGAGGCAATGGTGTAGCCGACAAGGTGTGCTTTTCTAGATAAAATGGATTCGTCTAGTAGCCTTCTGCAAACCAATCACAAGACCAAAAATAATAATTAAAAATGGCACTGAGATGCTCCTAAATGGAATTCAAAGGCAGAGAAAATACCATGCTCCACGCTGGCTACCAGGTGAGCTGCGTTGGCTAGTTCCAGGCAACATCTGATGGACCTGGGTAGAGATGCCTCCAGGCTGTTAAACTGACCCAGATGGGTATTACCATACAGGTGTGTGCACATTTTGGGTGAAAGTCTGCTGAGATGCAGGCGGACTGGATGGTTCTGGCATCTTGCTGCACATTTGGTTGAGATATGCAAGTTGGAATCATATATGGAAGACACCTCACTTCTCTGATGCCACAATAATATTGGCCAGAGGAAGGTTCAAATACAATCGAGATATGTTAAAGATGATAAAATGTGGGGTTTTTATAAGGAGTTAACAACATTTGACCAAGTGATCTTAAAATCAGATGAGAAAACGATTAAATGATAATTTTCTTTTGGATAGGAGAATGAAAGATGAACAAGTTAAGGAAATTATGATAACATGGACACAACATTTTGGATACAATATTGAGCTACAGAAATGGCAAAAGCTGTGGGAAAGAAATATGAAAGTAACATTAGCAACCGCATATAAAGAAAATTTGCATAAAATGTTTTATATATGGTATCTATTACCAAATAGATTAGCTAAAATGTTTCCAAACATGTCAAATGGATGTTGGAAATGCAAACATAAACCGGGTACTTTTTATCATATGTGGTGGTCTTGTGATAAGGCAAAAAAATACTGGGTTAAAATACATAAATGGCTTGAGGGAATGTTACAAAAACCTCTAATATTTAAATCTGAAGTTTTCTTATTAGGCATTGTACCTGATGATGTTGATAATCAAGCAATGTATTTGATTCTACATGTAATTACTGCAGCGAGGATTGCATTTGCCCAACATTGGAGGAGTGAAGAACCACCTACTGATGAATTGATTTTAAAAAATATCTTGGACTGTGCCGAAATGGACAGATTGACTTTGTCTCTGAAGGAGAAACAGGATACATACTCCTATCAAACTTGGAATTCTTTTTATTATTGGCTAGAGAAACGGAACTATGCATAGACTTAAATATGTTTATGGATTACCATAAAAAAAAGTATGGGGGGCTGACCCAGGAGTTCTGATGTGTCTGATGATTGATGATTTTTAGTTTCTTTTTGTTAGTTAGTAGAAAAAATAATAATAAAAATTACTTTAAAAAGATAATAATATTGGCCAGAGGGATGACCATGTTAAAAAGCAGCATCTCCACAGTATGTTGTTTTATCTGCAGGACTGAGAAAAAGAAGTCACCCTCATGTCTGCTATTCCTGCTTGAAGTCAGTATCCAAGCCAATTCTTATTAAATGCATGGCTGAAGACAGTGTTGCATTTCCGAATTATCTTTTTTGGCAAATGGAAAATTTGCTTTTCACATTAAAGGTGAATTAGTCAGCAGAATGCTTTGAGACAGAGCTGAGAAAGGGTTAAAAATACCATTCTATTAGAATGTCCTCAGAAGAAATAATGTTGTGATATTAGCTGGGCTGCAAAGTGTCCCTTAAAGATATTGCAAGGAATTTCTTTAGACTCTAAAGCAAACAGTTGCCTCTCGACCATTTGCGAAATAACGGAAAGCATACTCAGAAACAAAACCCGGACACGAACACATCATTAAATGTAAGAAGAGTTTAAGATGTAAGTCCCCCTGGACCAATTAGAGTCACGGGACTGTGTTGACTTTGCAATGGCTGCTGCTGCGGTACGTCTCCCTCTCCCTCTTGCGCTCATTATTCACTGCCAGGTGCCTTACGATGCACCCAGTTCACTCTCTTAACTTTATCTCCCAGTCTTTTCTCTTGTTGTTGTCATGGATGCCTCTCTCTGTAGGCAATGCTGTGCTCACGTCCCACACTGTTTCTTTGTGCTTCTAGCATTCCACAGCTTCATTACAAGAAAACCCTTTTGACAACGTTTGGCCATCATAATTCCCTGGGAATCTCGATGCCAACAGCAAGGGCAAAACCACGTATTGAACAAAATATCTGTGATTGCTACTCCCAGGAGTCTTGCATCTGATAAACAGTTGCATAAGGAAAGGGTAGACCAGGACGTCAGTGGCGCAGGGAGGTATCAGCTGTGCTGGTGGGAGGGGCAGGCTCTGTTTTGTGCTGCTTTTTCCTCTAGTTGGCACCAAGAGCAACTTCTGGGAGATGATACAGATTGGGGAAATGTGGGAGCCAAGCAAATTGACAGCCTGTGTTAAATAGCCAGAGTAGATAAGAAGTTGTCAGGGGACTGGATCGTGGGTCTTTTGCACCATGCCTGGTTTGTCTCCAAGGTGAATTGGATATGATACAGGGTAGACAAGGGACTTTTGTAATATTATGGGAAGTAAATTAGAATTGTTGTTGTTAGTCGCGAAGTTGTGTCTGACCCATCATGACCCCATGGACAGCATTCCTCCAGGCCTTCCTGTCCTCCACCATCCCCCGGAGTCCACTCAAGCTCACGCCGACTGCTTCAGTGACTCCATCTAGCCACCTCATTCTCTGCTGTCCCCTTCTTCTTTTGCCATCTATTGTTCCCAGCATTAGACTCTTCCATCTAATGAGAAGGAAGGGAGTCCTTCCTTCTCATTAGATGGCCAAAGTATTTGAGTGTAATCTTCAGAATTAGAATATGGCAGACCGAATGGAAAGACAAACTGGAAATGTGGGTATGTGGATCATTATAAAGGTACAGCATAATTTTATGTTGATATTATTCTGGTGCTGATGAATGTCCTGATTCTAAACCCTTTCCCATTGCCATTGCTACTGCAATACTGAGATGCAGTGATAAAGCAAGCTCCGTACCACGTTAACTCATTTTTCAAGCTTTATTAATACATTGCTGCATGCCTTAGTGTGAGTTTAGATGTATCTTTACGCTTTTAGACAGTTTACCAACCAAAGGTAAATTAAAAGCATGATATATGAAATAGCAACGAACAATAATAAAATGACACCTTGTCAAATCAGAAGCACAGACTGAAAACTGTGCAGCATATAATACTAAAGTAAATCTACCAATAAAACAGTGCAAAGCATTCAGCTACAAAAGGTATAAGAAGAAACTTATAAAGATTTCCATCCAGTGTTAAAATTATGCTATACGGTAATCCTGAAAGAGAAGACTAATGATCCAGAGATGTATGGGATTCTTAATACTGTATAAGTTGATAAACCAACCTGAGCAATGGGGAAAGAAACCTGCCAAATTCTAGGAATGTTAACTGGTATCCAGGGATCACTGCAGAGAAGAATGCTAAAACATGCATCTATTGATGCTGGGACAGCCCAGGGCTGCTGGGACAGCCCTGGGCTGATCCAAAATTCATACTACAATTCAGGTTGGTAAACGGATACCTGGGCTGGATGGATTATGGAGCACTGATGGATCTCACTGCCACGCTTCACTGCTCTAGCTGGAGCCTCAGCAACAGGCATGAACTGTCCACATACCTCACTGCGCAGCCTTCATTTTTTCAGCGGCAGTGGAAGACATGACAAAATCTTGCACACTGCGGATGGGCCCAAACTCGTGGGATGAGTCCCTTTCCCATTCCATCCAGCCTGGCTTCTTCTGAATATGCTTCTTTTATCTTGGCTCGAATGGCGGAGCTTTACAACTGTGTGGATTTTTGCTAAGACCATTCAGTAGGTAAAATCTGGCCTGATTGCACTGCCTGCCTGCACATTTCTGACCCTGATTCAAAGTGCTGATTTTGACTTATACATGACTCCGGACTACAATACCCCATGGAGTGTCTATCACTGCAGGACCGACCAGTACACTGTGCTCGTCATCCAAGGCCATTGTCTGCACACCTTCTCCAAGGGAAGCTCAGAATATGCCAGCAAGGTCTTTTGGTCATGCCACACACACACCTCTATTATGGAGCAGCCTCCGCATAAATGCCCAAATTATGCCAACATTTTTTCTGGTGCCAGCCTAGGACCTTCCTCTGCTGTTAGGCATAAGAGAAGAGCAAGTTCTACTATTCTTATTGTTGATAGTTGTAATCACTCACACACTCTGAGGTGTACTGGTGGGTGTGCACGGGCTGTTTATATATAAGCCACTTTTATGCTCAGTACCATATCCAGTCACAGACTCTCAGCCCAGCCTACCTCACAGGGTTGTTGTTGTGGGGATAAGATGGAGGAGGAAAATGATGTAAGCTGCCTTGAGCCCTTTGTAGGAAAAAGGCAGGATATAAATAAATAAATAAATAAATAAATAAATAAATAAATAAATCCAATTTTGTACGTTTTTAATGTTTGTATGGGGTCCAGAGAACTTTGGCAGTGCAGCAATGAAATGAAAACTTGCAGCCCCCCTAGTAGAAGCCTGCTCAGCTGCTAGATCCTTGGAGGAAGCCTTGTTGGGCTGAGCACCACCTCCAAACTGCCACCGGGCAGCATCTCTGAAGTGGGCCTGCTCTATGGTGGCATC